CCAAACTACTGTCCCTCCCCTGGACATGTCCAAACTACTGTCCCTCCTCTGGACATATCCAAACAACTGTCCCTCCCTTAGACATGTCCAAACTACTGTCCCTCCTCTGGACATGTCCAAACAACTGTCCCTCCCCTGGACATGTCCAAACCACGATCCCTCCTCTGGACATGTCCAAACCACTGTCCCTCCCCTGTACATGTCCAAACTACTGTCCCTCCCCTGGACATGTCCAAGCTACTGTCCCTCCTCTGGACATGTCCAAACAACTGTCCCTCCCCTGTACATGTCCAAACAACAATCCCTCCTCTGGACATGTCCAAACCACAGTCCCTGCCCTGGACATGTCCAAACTACTGTCCCTCCTCTGGACATGTCCAAACCACAGTCCCTCCTATGGACATGTCCAAACCACAGTCCCTCCTCTGGACATGTCCAAATCACAGTCCCTGCCCTGGACATGTCCAAGCTACTGTCCCTCCTCTGGACATGTCCAAACCACAGTCCCTGCCCTGGACATGTCCAAACTACTGTCCCTCCTCTGGACATGTCCAAACCACAGTCCCTCCCCTGAACTTGTCCAAACTACTGTCCCTCCTCTGGACATGTCCAAACCACAGTCCCTCCCCTGGACATGTCCAAACAACTGTCCCTCCTCTGGACATGTCCAAACCATCTCAGTCTGGTCTCTCTAACTTTATCTCCCAGTTGTTCAACCTGTGCTGTACCTCTGATGATCTCATTCCTAATCTTATCCATCCTTGTCACTCCTAAGGAGAACCTCAACATCTTCATTTCTGCCACTTCCAGTTCTGTCTCCTGTCTTTTTGTCCATGTCTCTGTCTCCAGACCATACAACATAGCTGGTCTCACCACTGTCTTGTAAACTTTTTCTTTGACCTTTGACCTTTTGTCACAAATCACTCCTGAAACTTTTCTCCATCTTGCCTGGACTCTCTTTTTCACTTCTTTACCACATTCCCCATTTTCCTGGACAGTGGACCCCAAGTACTTGAAGTCCTGCACCTTTGTGACCTCTGCTCTTTGTAGCCTCACTGTTCCACCGGCCTCCCTCTCATTCACACACATGTACTCTGTCTTACTTTTTTGCTGACTTTCATTCCTCTTCTTCCATGTGCATATCTCCACCTCTCCAAGTTACCTTCCACATGTTCCCTGTTGTCACCACAGATCACAATGTCATCTGCAAACATCATAGTCCACGGGGATTCCTGCCTGACCTCATCTGTTGGTCGGTCCATCACCAGAGCAACAAGAAGGGGCTCAGAGCCGATCCTTGATGCACTCCCACCTCCACCTTGAAGCTATCTGTCAAGCCTACAGCACTTCTTACCACTGTCCTGCTGTCCTCATACATGTCCTGCTGTCCTCATACATGTCCTGTACCAGTCTAACATACTTCTCTGCCACTCCAGATTTCCTCATGCAGTACCACACCTCCTCCCTCGGCACTCTGTCAGATGCTTTTTCTAAATCTACAAAGACACAATGTAGTTCTTTCTGACCTTCTCTGTACGTCTCCATCAGCATCCTCAAATCAAAGATGTCATCTGTGGTGCTCTTTCTCAGCATGAAACCATACTGGTGCTCACAGATAGTCACCTCTCGTCTAAGTTTTGCTTCCACAATTCTCTCCCAGATCTTCATTGTGTGGCTCATCAACTTAATTCCCATGTAGTTGCTACATCTCTGTACATCACCCTTGTTCTTAAAAATGGGCACCAGCAAACTTCTTCTCCATTCCTCATTCATTTCCTCACCCTCAAATAGGCCGTTGAATATTTGAGTCAAAAACTTCACTGCCATCTCTCCAAGACATTTCCAAACCTGTGCTGGTCTTTCTCGATCTCGGTCATTATTCCTGTTTTAGTATTTTACATCGCTTTATAATCTAGCTGTTTTTGTTTTGTTTTTTATATAATTTCTTCTATTTACTTTTCATTTTATATTTTTTTTTAATGATTGTCTGTTGTTGTCTATACCTCATCTGTGACTTTGTTAAAATCAGGTCTCTCTTGTAAAAGAGTCCTCGTGGCTCAGTGAGACTAACCTGTATAAATAAAGGTTGAATGAATGAACCTCTTTCTTTGAATAGTTTCCTACACTTCACTATTCCACCACCAGGTTTCCTTATCATCCATTCTCTGTCCAGATGACGCACCAAGTACCTTCCTACCTGTATCTCTAATTACTGTTGCTGTAGTAGTCCAGTCATTTGGAAGCTCTTTCTTACCACCCAGAGCCTTTAACAGCTCCTCTCTGAATTTCACAGCATTCTTCCTTTCACAGATTCCACCATTTGGTCTTCTTCTCTGATTTTACTCTTTTTCTCTTCTTCACAACAACAGTCATTCTACACACAACCATCCAATGCCGTCTGGCCACGCTCTCCCCTGCTACAACCTTACAGTCCCCAATCTCCCTCAGGTTTCCTCTTCTACACAGAATGTAGTCGACCAGCGTACTCCTTCCTCCACTCTTACAGATCATTCTATGTTCCTCCCTCTTTTGGAAACAAGTGTTGACTATAGCCATTTCCATTCTCTTGACAAAATCCACCACCATCTGTCCTTCCTGGTTTCTTTCCTTGACCCCAAACACACCCATCACTTCCTCATCCCCTCTGTGTCCTTCACCAACATGTTCATTCAGGTCTGCTTCGATCACCACTCTCTCCTCTCTGTTAATACTCTCTATCACTTCATCTAGATCTTTCCAAAATGTATCTTTCTCCTTCTCATCACATCAGACCTTCTACTTCTACCTTCAGACACATCACCCTATCTGACACTCTCTTCACCTCTCCTACACTCTTTGCCAGCTCTTCCTTCAGGACCACCCCTACTCCATTTCTCTTTCTATCCACACCATGGTAAAACAGTTTGAACCCTGCTCCAATGCTGCGAGCCTTGCTGCCCTTCCACTTTGGTCTCTTAGACACATAAAACATCTACCTTCCTTCTCAGCATCACGTCAGCCAGCTCTCTACCTTTGTCTGTCATTGTCCCCACATTTAGGGTTGCCACCCTCAGTCCTACATTCTTCATCTTCCTCTGTCTCCTGACCTGTTTCCCTCCTCATGGTCTTTGACTAACAGTAGCACAATTTCTGCCAGCACCCTGTTTGTCAGCATCACCGGTGGTGGTCGTTGTTAACCCGGACCTCAACTGATCTGATATGGACTCGCTTAGATGAACACGCATTATAGTTTTGTTAAAGTGTTTTACGTCGAACGCCTTTCCAGACACAACCCTCACCATTTACCCGGCTTGGGACCGGCACCAGAGATACACTGATGCTTGAAAAATTTGTGAACCATTTCAAATTTTCTATATTTCTGCATAAATATGGTATGGTATGGTATATGACAGGTGACAGGGCTTTCTCTGTTGCAGGTCCACGTCTGTGGAATGAGTTGCCAGAGTGTCCGGCAGGCTCCCACACTCTCAGTCTTTAAGTCTCGCTTGAAGACCCACTTCTATTCTCTTGCCTTTAACATGGTGTGATTTGTTTTGGTCCGGTCTGTTCTCTACTCTGTTGGCCATTTTAGTTAGCTTCTGCTGCTATTTGTATCTGTATTTCTATTTTATGTTTTCCTGTCCGCTGTGCATGTTTGTGTTCTTTTGTACAGCACTTTGGTTGGCCTTGTTGCTGTTTTAAGTGCTATATAAATAAATTGGTATGGTATGGTATGGTATATAGTTTATTCATTTTAAAAAAGTACAAAACAATTCCATAACAATATAAAAAAGGATACAAAAGATTTAAAATGAAAGGCAGCAGAAAGAAGAAAAAAATATCTGCATAAATATAAATAAATATGTAATATTGGATCATTTTCCTCAATAAATAAATGACCAAGTTTAATATTTTTGTCTAATTTGTTTCACTGGGCTCTCTTTATTTACTTTTAGGACTTGTGTAAAAACTCTGGCGATGTTTTAGGTCACATTTATGCAGAAATATAGAAAATTATAAAGGCTTCACAAACATTTAAGCACTTCTGTACATCTCAAAAGTTGCCTTTTGAGCAGCAGCAGTTTTAAACCAGAACAGTCCTACATAGATTTTTTTATTTTGACTTTTGAGTATAAAGATTTAATTGGCTCGTCTAGCTTTTCATGAACATTATGGACCATAAAAACTAACCCCTTAAATTATTTGCATTTATACTTTTAGAGTGAAAATCACATCTCCATCTTTTGCTCTGAAATACTCTGTTTCTGGGGTGTTCCTTTTATTCCCACACATTAGCAACATGTTCAAATACACCTAACTGTAAGGATCGAGCTCTGTGTATTCATTTTACTTTATTATCTGTGCAGAAGTAAAATCTCGTTTCAGGTGGAGATGATCTGCAGAAGATGAAGACACACCTTTGGTACAGCAGCCTGCAGGGTGAAGCTGCTGATGTCTGAGTCGGAGGAGTTGGAGGCCGCGAGCGTCACCGTCATGGTGGAGTCTGACTGGTGTTCACAGTTCAGTGTCAAAGTCACACCGTTTTTCTCATACACCGTCACTGTGGGAGCTATAAAAACACACAAAATTAAAATATGCCATAAACATTTAGAAAAAAAAATCCAGAAGCTTTAAACTGTCCACTTGTTTTTCTTGAAAACCATAAAAAAACTCCCAGTAATCCATCACGTTTGCAGTTTGAGAGTTCATCCGAAAAGCAGACCTGGTGTTTGGGCAGTGGGCTCCAACCCACCCAGCAGATCCAGGAGGTCTCCTCCTACAGCGGTGGTGGTGATGGACTGGGCCGGTGCTGTGCTCCCTGCAGCCGGGCTGGGCTGCACAGGCTCCTGAGAGTCACCCAGTAGGTCCAAGAGATCACAGACCTGAAAAATACCACAGAGGGAGGATAAAACATCCGGAGTCTGCACGTCAGATAAATGTGTGCACGGTAAGAAAACCAAACCAAACTGTATCTGGTTACATGTGTAAATGTTTGCAAAGTGCTTCAACAAGCAGACACAGATGTGTCCTCACACCTGGTTAGCAGGATGTTGTGGCAGCACTGCCTCTTCCTGTTTCACTCTGGCTGGCTGGATCTCCTTCACAGTCTCCTCTGTGGCCTCCTCGCTGGTTTGACCCTGAAAGTTCCTCTGAACCACGGGCATCCTCTCTAACACTGCTGCCCTGAGGACAAAATACATTTCTCACCTCTTCTGGTGACAAACTCATGTTTCCGCTCCGTGACCAGCATCACATTGTACGACAGCACAGGTGAGGGTGAGCACAGGCACATTAAAGATGATTTCTTTCTTCCCTTGCTCACCTCATGTGGTCATATTTTCTGAAGAGAGCGTTGTACTCCACTGCCCTCTGCTGGAGCTCCACGTCTATGCAGCTGCCGTAGATGCTGACGATGCTTCGGATGCGGCTGCAGGACGAACACGAGCCAAGAAACAAAGACACCGTCAGACTTTTATTTTCTCAGCATGTTTAGATTGCTCAGGAAACCCGAGAGTAAAACCTGTAAGACACAGGCATCAGAGTGTTTGTGGTCAGCAGGTGGACCTGCTGTGACTCGGGGTTTTCCTTACTCCACATTTTCAGTGATGCGTGTGCTCAGTTTCATGGTGGCGGTGAGAGCAAAGCCTCTGGTTGTCGGAGACGACATGTGCGACTGCAGAACCGTCTCCAAAGCGTCCAGGACATTGTCTTCTGTGACCTGAGGACAGGACTACATGGTGACTGAACGCCGGCATTAAATCTGTCAGACACTGGAAGAAAACTCAGTATTTACTTCCCTGAAGGACGAACAAACACAAAGTCCCTTTGATTTCACTCAGTTAGAGAAACAGCAGTTTCAGTACTGTTTTCACTTTTTGTATGTTTAGTTATTTAAAGGGGCAGTTCAGATCTTTTGAAGTGAAAGGATTCTGAACAGGTAATCCACCCACCCATCCATCCATCCATCCATCCATCCATCCATCCATCCATCCATCCATCCACCCACCCATCCACCAAAAATGTTTTAGAGCAACAATCCACTTTGGTTTGGGCCTCGCTCAGACCAGCTGTTAGCTCATCCATTCCTACAAACTGAGGTTCTCCACAACAGCTAAGATAATAAGTATTCATAACTACTGGTAACTAACTAACTAACTAACTAACTAACTAACTAACTAACTAACTAA